TGTTTTTGAGAGCTGGGAGCCAGGTTTTGTTGAGTTTCAGACATTCCTCCTTCCGGTTGAAGTTTTGTTTATGCTTGTGGATTTCAAGGGCTTCCCTGTGCAGTCTGACGTAATGATTGCTGGTGTTGTCCAGTATTTCAGTATTTTGAAATAGAATTTCATGTCCAGTTTGTTTTATGGCATGTTCAGCTACTGCAGATTTTTCTGGTTGTTTTAGTCTGCAGTGTCTCTCATGTCCTTTGATTCTGGTGTGGATGCTTCGTTTTGTGGTTCCAATGTATACCTGGCCACAACTGCAAGGTATCCGGTATACTCCTGCAGTGGTGAGGGGGTCCCTTCTGTCCTTTGCTGACCGTAACATTTGTTGTTACTCCACAAATTTTCACCCCTTCAGAAGCAAGATGGAGTCACCTCCTCCTAGCAAGCGTTAGCAGAGCATTCCTGATTGTGCTTTCTTTCCCACATACGCGAAACATCTGGTTGTTGAGCTATACTTCATGGAATCCCAGAACCAGCCATATTGGCTGTGGGTTCTGAGAGTTACAGTATATCCAAAGAACAAATTTCCCCATCTCTACATCTTATTTACAGTATACGGGGAACATGAAGGTGAGGAAACAGCACTAAATTGCCAGACTAAATGTGATAGTCACTCCTAAATGTTGTTGCTCTGTGCATCAAGTAACTCCCAAATCTGGCAACCCTAGGAAGATGGGTTACAGTATTGCCTCCACACAGTAAGGTTCCACAGCCAAGTGGGGATTTGAACCCAAGCCTACCGAAGCCTAGTCCAACATTCCGTCCACTACACCAGTGGTCCCCAACCTTGGGCCTCCAGATGTTTTTGGACTACAAGTCCCAGAAGCCTTCACCACCACCTTTGCTGGCCAGGATTTCTGGGAGTTGAAGTCCAAGAACTTCTGGAGGCCCAAGGTTGGGGACCACTGGCTTAACCTACAGCGCAACCAAGAGGACAACATAAATTTAGCAAATGCCAAAAATGTTGTAGGTTACCATTCTTTTTCTTGAGCAACTCTGTGAAACCTGTGTACAACATCAGCCTTGCTCTCAAAGCCAAGTTTTACTGGAGATCAATTGAACGGCCAAGTAACTTAGTGTTTTAGGTCTCTGGATTCATAGCTAGAGTTTGGGAGTTCTATTCCCTGTTGTGACTTCTTGACGGGGCTGAACTTAATGATCCCTACCAGCTCTTCTGATGATGATTTATGGGGCATAATCAGCTTTTGGCTAACTCATCTGAAACAGCTGAAAGCTCCTCCAGGTGTGGATTTGCACCATTACCTCAGGCCCGGTGTGTGCATGTGCAGCTGCTTGCTGGATCTGCTTGGTTGGATGCGGCTGATCTTCTTTTCCATGGCTTTGTGTGTTCCTGATGCCTTCAGGTGCCATTTGGTCAGCATGTGGGAACCAAATGAACCAGATATGAAGGTTTTAACTTTACTGGAACGTGCCGTACTGAGGAAGATTATTGTCTTAATGCAGGTCAAACGTCATGTCAGCGTGCCCAAACAAACGCATTGATCTCCAGCTGGAGGCTGAATGGACAGAAGCTTAAGAACACTTCGGCAGACCTCTTTGCTCCCTCCTGTCTAGAGGCGAGTTGTGCGGTAGTAGCGAAACATATGTTTGGAACCTTGTAGACCTCTAATCTGATTTTCAGCATATTCAC